CGCTGTGAGTGCACTGGTCATCCGTATATAGGATCCGACCCCGCGGCAGGAGCGCTGCTGCGCTCCCAGCGCCGCACTCTCCCGAGTGCGCCACGGGCTCAGCCCAAGTTTTTTCTTCTTTAAAGTGGGGATTATATCGGGGCCGGCCTGGTGGCGCACTGGATAGTGCGCCGCTTGGGAAGCGCGGCGGCGCTCCCGCCCGAGGGTTCGGATCCCACATACAGACCGGTTCCCGCTCACTGGCTGAGCGAGGCGCGGGGGCAGCACCGAGGGTTGCGATCCCGTTGCCGGTCCCGGTCCGGTACGGGGGCGACACTGAGGGTTGCGATCCATTGCCAGACACGGAAAAAGACAAAAAAAAAAAAAAAAAGTGGGGATTATAATACCTGTCTTGCAGAATTTTGTGAAGATTAGAATAGAACCTATTAATTAGTTGTGTGTGTGTGTGTGTGTGTTTTAAGAAGCTTTATGGTATTTTAAAAAATCTAGACTGTCATTTGGTTTCCTATTTAAGAAAAATTGGGAGAGGTTGTTTAAAATACAGGTTCCCGGGCCGGCCCGGTGGCGCACTGGAGAGTGCGCCACTTGGGAGCGCGGCAGCGCTCCCGCCGAGGGTTCGGATCCCATGTGGAGACCGGTTCCCGCTCACTGGCTGAGCGCAGTGCGGGCGCAACACCGAGGGTTGCGATCCCGTTACTGGTCAGTAAAAAAGACAAAAAAGGAAAAAAAAAAATCCCGCAATCTCACTTTGCTTGGGAGATGGATTCCACCTGGAGTGAGGGTCCTGCAGGGAACATGTTATAGACCACTGTGGTCTTTGTCCCAAAATCCATAACTGCAGTCTCAGCATAAGAACACCTCCAGAAACATTCCAATAGATGGGCATCCTACAAAACGCCTGAGCAGTATTCCAAGGTCATCAAAAACAAGGAAAGGCTGAACAACTGTCATGGCCAATAGAAGCTTGAGAAGACGTGACAAGAAATGAATGTGGAATCCTGGATGCGAACACAAGAACGATATCAGGTAAAAGCTGAGAGAATCAGAGTAAGTTATATGCTTTTTAATGGTAACGTGTCCATATTGGTTCATTAATTGTAGCAAATGTGCCTTCCTAATGCAAGATGTTAATAATAGTGGAAACAGAGTGAGGTGTGTATGGGAACTCGCTGTACCATCTTTTGATTGTTTTTTGTAAACCTAAAAATGTTCTAAGAATAAAGTTTATTTTAAAAAAGAATGTTGCACAGAAGAAACAATAATAATGTTTATGAGATTTATAAACTATTTAGGAGAAAAATATGACAATATTGCCACAAAAGGTGGGAAGGAGTAAATGGAATAATAATGTTTTAAAATTCTTAAGTTGTTTGGGAAGCGATAAAGTAGAAGAAAAGATAGTCACAGACCAATATTTCTCATGACTATACAAGGTTGCAAGGCTAAATGGACATTTGAAAATCAATCAATATAGTTCATGACATTAATAAAATAAAGGAAAAAAACCTATATGACAATCTCAATAAATGAAGAAAAGTATATAAAACCTAAAGCTTTTTTACGGTAGAAATTCAAAGCAAATATAGCTACAAGGTGTATAAGTACAAATGAATGAAGCTCTACACTGAAGATCAAACCCTTTGCTTGTTGTAGTGAATATAATTTATGCTTCAGTAAAAAGTGCGTATGTGCTTAACCAAATTGCCAGAGATTTATGGAGGGAAATTCCACCACTCTTCAAAAAATGATGTCTTCTATGTTATTTAAACAATTTTGAGAATGGAAAAGGACAGCTTCCAGATGTGTTATGATTACCCATTAAAAGAAAACTAAACACCTATCTTATATATAATATCAAAGCAAAAAGAGCTAAATAAAAAATTATGGAAAATACACTAGAATGCCACGACCAAGGGGTAGTTATGGCAGAAATGCAAAAAAGTAATTATTTATCAGAAAAGACACTAATATATTTCACCATAACAGATGAAATGAGAAAAGGCATATGACATCTCTCTAGTGTGTCCAATAGAAATATAACGTGAGCCACGTGTAATTTGAAACTTTTTAGTAGCCATATTTTTAAAAAGTAAATTGAACCAAAAACAGATTAAGCTAATTTTAATAATATATTTTAATTTAACCTATGATATTAAAATATTATTGTTTCATTATATAACCAATAGATAAATTATTTTTATTTATTTATTTATTTATTTTTTCCTTTTTGTCTTTTTTCGTGTCTGGCAACGGATCACAACCCTCAGTGTCGCACCCGTACCGGACCGGGACCGGCAACGGGATCGCAACCTTCGGTGTTGCTCCCACACCTCGCTCAGCCAGTGAGCGGGAACCGGTCTGTATGTGGGATCCGAACCCCCGGCGGGAGCGCCACCGCGCTCCCAAGTGGCGCACTGTAGCAGCGGCCCCAATAGATGAATTATTAATGGGGTAGTGTGTTCTTTTTAGTTTTTGCAATCTGGTGCATATTTTATTGTCCCAATTCAGACACACACCTCAATTCAGATGCTACATTTTCTCTAGATAGGCATTGAGACAGGAACCCTTAAGCTGATTGGAGGATGTAAAAAACCTGCCTTTCCCATTTGCCTTTAAAAGCAAGTGCTTGTGTGCTAATAAACGGAACTGCTGCTCGACAGAACTCCCGCCGCGTCTGAGTGTCCTTCAATGGGGCTGGTTTGGGGCCGGCGGTTGTGCTCACCTCTCTTCACGCCTCTCTTCCCCTGTCTCCTCCTAAAGGGGACTGGAGGGAAAGAGGAATCCCCGGCCATTTGCTCGCCCACCGAAAGGAACGAGGCTAGGGCTGTATGGGTCGGCAGGCAGTGGACCCGACACCAGCGTACTCCAGAAAGTTCATGGAAAGATTGGTATCATCTTTTAATTCTATTATTTCCACGAACTTTTGGAAGCACCCTCATACATTCTTTGCCACCTCTTGGCGCCCCAGCTAATGACTTGCCTCACTGAGAACATGGAGCTCCTTCCTCTGTCTGCTACCAGCTGCCTCCTGTGTCCCCAGCCCTCTAGCTCTTCTCCTGCCACCCCTGGCTGACCCCCCAGATCCCACCCACTCCTCCCTAGGACACCTGCAGCAGCCCATATTTCCCATCAGCGCACAGAAGAGCCACCACCCCTGTCGTCTGCAGTGATGGCAAGAGCAGCAGACGCTGTGCCAGGCTGCCGCTGCATTGTTCACTGTAACCTGCTGTACTCCTCATGGTTATCCTACAAGGAAGGTATTTCTTACCTCCACTTTACAGATAAGGAAACTGAGGCATGGGGAAGTTGAAGCACTGCTCAAAGTCAGTAAACAGTAGAGCTGGATTCAACCCCAGGCCTGTGGCTCCAGAGTCTGGACCTGTCACCAGGGTGCGCTGCTCCCTCTCTGCATGTTTCTAGCTTCTAAGGAAGCTCCCTGGGAGCTGCTGCCTCCCCAGCCCCAAACGCACATGCAGTAGCCTGGTGCTGTCCCCGGCAGGCCTTCTTGGAAGAGTTGCCTTCAGTGGCTGTCTACCCTTTGCTCAGGCATCATTCACCTCCAACCAGCCAGTCGTCCCTCACCCCGCGGTTGCTCCTGAGAGCTATCTGGGACCTATGTGCAGCCACATCCCACAGTGCCACTCCGGTGGGCTCTCAGCAGCCCTGGGACTTCCATGGCTGCTATGGCCCCGTGCTCTCCTGGATCTGCTGCTTTCTCTGCCCACCCTTCCTCAGTCTCCCTTGCTGGCTGGCTCCTCCCTGGCAGAGAGTGCCCAGGGCCTTTTCTGCATATTCCCCAGGGTGGCTCTGAGATACCATCTAGATTCAGCAGCACCCACCGCTCCTGCCTTGACCTCTACTTGTCACTCAGGAGCCATACACCCAGCCGGCCACTCAACATCTCCCCATGGGCTGGGACAGGCTTCCAGCCTCATCTCAGCAAAGAGAATGCACAGTCTCCCTGAAACCTGCCCTCTGCCATTTCTGTAGATGACATCGCCATTTACCTGGCTGCCCATGGCCCAAACCTAGAGGCTGTTTTCCTTCTCTCACTCTCCAAATTCAGTCCATCACCAAGTCTATTGCTTCTTCCTGCAGAACTTTCCTGAATTAGTTCACCTCCTCCGCATCTCCTCTGTCCCCCTCCACTAAAATACCGCCTGGTCTCCATGGACTGTGTGACAGCTGCCTGATGGACCCCTGCTGTCACCCTTGCCCATCTGACTTGTTCTTCACATCAGACCAAGGGTCTCTGAGGATGTGAATCAAGTCATGCCCACTGTCCTTCTTAAAACCCTCCTGTGACTTCCCACTGCACTTAAAATAAAATGCAAATACCTGCAAAGCCCCCGTCCACTGTGATGGAGCTGGCTCTCTTCCGTCCCATCCCTGTGTGCCTAGTGACGTGGCACTCCCTCTGAGGGAGGCCCATCCGGATTGTCTTCCTCCACACCCGCAGCCCTTCCAGCTCCCATGTGGCACAGGCGGGGATTCCTGGCTATCACCATAATCAAGTTATTTCAACCTACTCCATTTTGCCCTAAAACGGAATGGAGACTTTTCCTGCCCAGCTTAGCAGTGATTTGCTCCTTTTGTCATTCAGTGACCTGCCCTGACTACTCGATGGAGCCACCAGTTAGCCTCTGCAGGACCCAGCTGTGACTCTCTGGTGTATTTCTGGTATCGTTCCATGAGAGAAGGGCTATTCCTCTCTTTTCACTGCTTTATCCTCAGCTCCTAGATCAGCTCCAGGCAGGCAGAGGTGTGCAGTGACTACTCGTTAAATAAATGGATGCATAAACAAAAGAAGGAATGAATGACTCCCCAGAGATGTCAGATATAATCGCTGAAACAGTGCTGGGCTCTGTCTTCGAGGTTATTGTAAAGGGTAAAACCTTGTTCCTGCCTGAGTGCCGAGCTCTCGTTTCCTCCAGGCTCTCGGTTCAGCTAAGCATCCGACGTTTGCCTCCAGTGGTCTCATTCACTACGTGGCTCATCAGAACCAGGTTGATCACGCCACGCTCCAGCTTCACGGGGGCCACCTCCACTTCATGTTTGACCTTGGTAGAGGCAGAACACAGGTCTCCCACCCTGTGCTGATCAGCGATGGCAAGTGGCACATGGTGCGTTCTCAGGAGGCTGTGATTCGTATAACTTCGTATAATGTATGCTATACGAAGTTATTACGGAGCCAGTTGGTAGACACTTACCATCCTTATGTGAAGGAAGGACTGCCAGAAGCAAAGTACCACAGACAGGAGTAACAAAATAAGAGCTAATGTCACATAGTATGTTTTGTGTGGCAGACATTGTCCCAGTAGTGATATAACTACAATATAAATATATCTTTATATAAACTATATGTTTACTGTATATACATATGTTATTAGTTCACTTAGTTCAATCAAATTCTGACTTCAAGTCTGAGCTAAGCACTATTACCGTTCCATCTTCATAGATGTGGAAATGGAAGCACAGTCGTGTTAAGAAACTTGATTTAAAAGTGCACTAGATGGGCAGGTAAAAATACCTAACTGCTCCCTGCTGTGTGCTTGTAGTGGAGCAGGGAGGCGGACATGTGAAGAACGAACTGTGAGGGGTGCTGTGATGGAAGCATGTGGAAGGTTCCATGCCAACAGGCTCTACCAGCTTGGCTCAGCCTAGGGCTGGGGGGCAGAGCATGGTCCGAGGTCCTGCTAGACAGCTCAATCTCCACTGTTAGGCTTCACTGTTGGTGCCCAGACACCCTGACTTCACCGTGAAGGATGCCGTTCCGTTTTCATGTGCTTATTAAGAGAATAACCTAAGGAAGCCATGTGCTGCACCACAGATAACAGTCACACAAGTGTGGGTGCAGTCTGGGGTTCACGTGCAGTGAGCCTGCATGACACCTTCCAGCAAGGGGTGGAGTCTCAAAGGAGCCGGCCCCATGAGGAGTCACAAGGCCAGCACGACCTTCTACACAGCGCTTTCCCCACCCTGCTCCTGGTCTTCTTCCAGATTCAGTCTCTTCTCATCAGCAATTTCATTCCAGTTATTACTGCTGTAATGAACAGATGTTGTAAACCTACATCTATTAAAGTTTTCTCAGATTCCTTAAAAATGATGGATGCTTTCATCTTGCTGTAGGTGAAGACAGAGCACGTTAAAAGAAAAGGCTTCATGACTGTTGATGGCCACGAGTCCCCCATGGTGACCACGGTGGGGGATGGGACCACACTGGACGTGGAGGGGACGTTGTACCTAGGGGGCCTTCCCTCCAACTACAGGGCCAGGAACATTGGACATGTCAGCCGTGTTTCTGTGTGGAGCCCGCTTTACCTGGTGATTGTGATTACTTTGTAGAGCCATATAGTTCTCCACATGTTTTTATTTAAATGACCTTGTTGAACCCAGGGCTCAGCTACAAGATGCAGCCCTGTCAAAGCACATGCACAGATGGCATGGGGGGCTTCCCCTTAGAGCCTGACCAGCCTCAGCACCCTTTCTGCAGCCCCTCAGCCGCAGACAAATCAGCAAAGTCCAGCCAGTTTGTATTTGTATGTTAGTAAACACAGCATTCTTGATCTCCACAATATTTCACTAAAATAGTAAAAAACACTTTTAATGCATTATTAGCAAAGATACTGAAGTGGTAGCTCTAAGTTAGATGTTCCTGGGAAGTATTGTCACAATTAAATTTTAAGAACCAAAAAGATAATATCTTACTGTGTTTTGTTGAGACAAATCTGATGAATTGTAGGAAAAATTTGTCCTCGCCCTTCTCGTTATAATCACCATCATCTCCTCCCGCGTGTCATTTGGTTTAGATCACCCACAGCGTTCCTGCCTGCAGCGGGGAGGTGACAGTTACCAGCAAGCAGCTGGACAAGGACATCCCGGTGTCTGCCTTTGCAGTGAACAGGTGCTGTGCAGTGGCCCGGGAAGGAACTTTCTTTGAAGGGAGTGGATGTGCAGCTCCTGGTATGTATCATCAACAGTCCCAAAAGAAAGCTTCGGGATTAGCCTATACTCTAAGATGATGTGACCTAAGAAGCATAGGACAAGACAGGACCCAGCTGGACGAGGCTGCAGCAAGACCACATTTAGTAAATGTTCCAGTCATTCCTAATTTCTTGACTCTCACTGTAAAGCCTCCTGACCTCTCGTGTTATCCAGCTGGGCCGATGAAGTCATTCTCTCACCAGGAGTGTTGTGACTCCTGACAGAGGCCAAACCTGGGGTGCTGGCTTCACCTGTAGCTGCCCCAAATTTACGTAAGGCCCACTCACTGTCCAACTTAATACAGGCCTTTGAATTAAAAATCAGTAGCATAATGTGTGTAAACCAGCCAGCTCCAGGCTCCAGCCCCCGCCGGGCTCCTGCCCCCGCCGGGCTCCAGCCCCCGCCAGGCTCCTGACCCCACCAGGCTCCTGCCCCCGCCAGGCCCCAGCCCCCGCCAGGCTCCAGCCCCCACCAGGCTCCTGCCCCCACCAGGNCCTGCCCCCGCCAGGCTCCAGCCCCCGCCAGGCTCCTGCCCCCGCCAGGCTCCAGCCCCCGCCAGGCTCCTGCCCCCACCAGGCTCCAGCCCCCGCCAGGCTCCTGCCCCCCGCCAGGCTCCTGCCCCCACCAGACAGCCTTCTACGTTCTCAGCTGCCAAGCTCTGGGAACACCACTTTCTCCCATTTCTCCTTCAGCCCCAGGCAGGCCAGCAACCACCTGCTATTGCTGATTTGGCTTCTCAGCTTTTGTAACCCTGAATAAAACATCATTCGATTAAGTCCCCACTTTTAGAAAAGCTAGTGTGGGCTCTGATACTCTCAGTAAATGATGATATGCCCAGTATGGAGATACCAGGAAAAGCAAGCAGCGTGTTGCTGGATGATTGCAAAGGGATTATAGGGAAAGACAGCCTCAGGGTGGACTTATCCACACGGCAGGGTGGTGCCAGGTGCCTCATGGCTGGAGATGAAGGACGGGCCTGCCCCAGCTCTAGTCTGGCTTACCCCAGCTGGCTGCATGTGTCTTCTTTAAAAGCGCTACTAAGGCTCAAGTGGGTGAGTGACTTTTTGGTGAGGATGGAGCTCGGTCCAGAGGAAAGGCGAGAGCCAGGTCCCCTGAACCTCAGTGGGAGCCCGAATGTGCAGCCAGCCAGCCCAGCCGCTGGGCAGGGCTCACTCCTTCCTCGGGGCTGTCCTTGTGTTTTTTAGTTAAAGAAGGCTACAAAGTCCGATCAGACGTAAACATCACACTGGAGTTTCGTGCTTCCTCAGAGAACAGCGTCCTCCTGGGGATCAGCAGTGCCAAAGTGGATGCCATTGGCCTAGAGACTGTACATGGCAAGGTGGGTGCTTCATCTTCATGGGTCCCCTTCCCGCCAGTGCCCAAGACAGCACAACTGAGAAGCAGTGGAAATACCTAGATCCAAATTTCATTTACCCACTTGAATGGAGTTGAGAAAAGATTCAGCTAATATTTAAAAACCAGATAATCCTAAAAAGTTATTTTCTTTAATATATTTGAACTTAAACGTACAGCAAAATTGCAACTACAATACAAATGGCTTTTTTTCCCTGAACCAGTAAGCTGCCCACCTGACACCCTGTCCATTATAATACTTTTTTTCACTGTTTATGTGTAAATAATTTTAGATTCATAGGATGCTGCAATGCAGTGCGCAGGGAAGTTCCCACACACCCTTCACCAGGCTTCCCAGGGGTAGCCTGGTGCATAACTGTGGGCCAACATCACATCCACACCACGGACATCAGCACAGTCCACGGAGCTTGTGCAGTTGCACAATTATGTAGGCACACATGTGTGTATATTTTTACACAATTTTATCGTGTGTCGCTTGTGATACACATGGGTTACCATGACCACAATCAAGATACTGATTGTGCCATTACCACGAGGCTGACCTGAGCTACCCCTTCATACCACACTTGCCCCTGCTGCCCCCCTAACCTCTGGCCACCACTAACTTCCTCTACAGCTCTCTCGTGGTTATTTCCCAAGTGTTCCATAAGTGAGTTTGCACTGTGAGCATCCTCTTAAGACTGGCTTTTTACACTCAGCCTAATTTCCTGGAGGTTCATCCAGGTCGCTGTGTGTGTCGACAGTTCCTTTCCCTTGATTGCGGAGTGTCACTCCATGGGATGGATGTACCACACTCTAATTTTCTAATTTCTTTTTACACAAAAATATGTTTTTTCTATATTCTATTTTTCTATAACTATTTATTTTCTATAAATTTTCAGCCTCTCATATCCCTCTCATGTCAGAAACAAAGTGAACTCAACAATCGTCAGTACTTTAGTCTCCTCTGCTTTAAAATTGAGTCCTTCAGAGTTTCTCCCTGTTCTCAGACTCCTTCCTCTCCCCTTTGGGGCCATCTGGGTGCAGCACGGTGTAGGGAAGGAGTCGCGACCACCCTTTACTTTTCTGCTTGCCCCTCCTTGACAGCAGTTGAGGTGCGGCTCACGCTCCTGTGCCCTTGGCCAGTTAGTACTGAGTGGTCTGGGTCTCGGCACCGCCACTGCATGGGGACTGCTGCTGGTGTTTGGCCATCACCCCTTGTGCGTCAGGCTCCCCATCCCAGTTGTCAGGGTGCTGCCGCCTCTTCCACCTTCAGCCACCTTCCATCTTCCCCGCAGGGTCATGTGAGAACTTGGGAATTCCTGCCATGCCACACGCAGGCCATGGGGAATGGTGGTTTCTCAGGTCCCCTCTCTACCTAACTGCACTTTGCCACCATTTCTATTATAGAGTGGGCAAGTCCGCACTGTGGACAACTCATGCTGTTGCAGGAATAAGGTGCTTAAATTTCCCAGAGCGTCTGCCGCCTGGAAGGCAAGGAACAAATCTCTGTTCTAGATTCCCCTGCATGTACTCAGTGGTTTCTAGTATTTCTCTACTCACTCCCCCTGGATTCTTGACCCCTAGGGTGTCCTATAGAGGGGCTGGGGAGGGTCTGAGGAAGTCCCATCCGACCTCTTGTCCTGCACGCCTCCTCCTGTTACTCCACATCCCAACACACCTGCCTCTGCCTCGCGTTGCCGCCTCTCTGCGCTGCAGCCAGCAGCCAACTTCTTCCGCATTTGCATTTTAAATGATTTGGAAACACTTTCTATGTACACATTTTTATATAATGTCTATGAAATATTATTAGAAATGTGTAATCGCTATAAAACATGTAATTTCTGGTGTACTGTATATCCTCTACTATTGGCTTATTTATTGTTCTTTTTAAACATTTTTAGTAGTTGCCCAAAGGTTTGTCATATGCATCTTTAGCTTGTCACAGTTCACCTTGAAACAATACTGAGCAGCTCCCCATGGTGTCAGCACTTAGAGCGGGGCACTCGTGGCCTTCCCTCCTGGCTTAGTCTGCTCAGGCTCCCGTGACAAAGTCCCACGGACTGAGTGGCTTCAACAGCAGAAACTGATTTCCTCACAATTCTGGAGACTAGATGTCTGAGATCAAGGTGTCTGCAGGGTTGTTTTCTCCGAGGCCTGTCTCCTTGGCTTGCATGTGGCCTCCCTTCTCCCTGGGTCTTCACATGGTCTCACCGCTGTGCCACTCTGTGTCCTCATCTCCTCTTCTGACAACGGTACAGTTGTATTGGATTAGGACTCACCCTAGTGACCTCATTTTAACTTAATTATGTCTTTAAAGACCATATCTCCAAATACAGTCTTGTTCTGAGGTACTAGGGGTTAGGACACCAACATGTGAACTTTGAAGAGATGCAATTCAGCCCACAACACCTCCCATTTTTTGCAAAACTTGTACGTTCTGTGTTACCACTCGCTGTGGTAGAGCATCTACAGTTGGTCAGAAGGGAATTAGTAGATGTTCTTCGTAGGTGCCATCGACTAGTATGACACTGACACCCTCAGTAAACCTATTTACTCTGAAAATGATCTGAAATGTGGTCCTGAAAATGAGGCACTCGTTTGGGGATGCAGCATGGCCCAGGCTTGTTGCCATGGAGGTGGCCATTGCCCTTTCTGAAATTGGGGACTAGCATAGCATCTGAATCCTTTATGAGGCTATTTTTCAAACCATTCTTTGTTTTTCATGGTTAGCCTCCTTTTTAACAGAATGCTGTGATCGTATCCACTCCAAGAGCATTATTCAAATGGACTGTGTTCCTCAAGTATGGAAAAACTCACCAGGTAATTTGCCCGTGTCTGCTTGTCTAGGTCTCATTTCATGTCAACAATGGTGCTGGCAGGATAACAGCCACATATGAGCCCAAACCTACCAGTACTCTCTGTGATGGAAAATGGCACACACTTCAGGCTAACAAAAGCAAACACCGTGTTGTTCTGATTGTCGATGGGAAGACAGTGGGTGCTGAAAGTCCACACGCCCAGTCCACCTCGGCGGACACCAACAACCCCATTTATGTTGGTGGCTGTCCTGGTACGACTTGACACCTGCTTTGCATATCCACGTTGAAGGGGAGCTGTACTGAGGGACGTTGAAGGGGCGCTGTACTGAGGGAAGTTCCACATCAAGCAGGTATAGAATAGGGATTGAGAAAGATGTGGTTTGAGTGACAAAGGCTTTACCATTTTAGAAAAGCTATTTCAGATATCTAGGAATTCTTACAAACAATAAAATAATCTACATAGACAAGACAATTATTAGGTAAGACCATGAGAACAGTGCATCCGATGTGAATTAAGCGGGCTGACTTTAGTGAGGTGAATCGTCGTAGATAACTCCCAGAGTTGAGAATCGTTTTAGGGGGCAAACATGTGACTTATCCTCTCCCATCAATTTTGAATTAGAATTACACATTTCAGATGATCCAAGGAGTTATTACAAATACTAAAGTTCTGTTTTATGAATATTTAAGTCACAACTATGCCTTAAAATTATTATAGATTAAAAGTTTTCTATGAATTCTGCTATTCACTGAAGCCACATATGTGAACAAACATTCTTCTAATTTAGGTGGAGCACCTACTTGAAATTATTTTTGTTCCTGTTTTGCTACCTCTGTCATTCGACAAAATGAAGCAAGGTTTGTCTTTTCTTCTTCCCTGCACAGCTGAAGTGAAGCGGAACTGCCTGAGCAGCCAGACCTCGCTCTGGGGTGTTTGAAGCTCACGTTCATGGAGGGCCCACATGTGCCATTCCTGTGACTTCAGCAGCGCTTGTGACCTACAGGGAGTTTTCCCTCATTCCTGTCCTAGGACTGAATGCTGACTCCAGGCAAAATCCTCAGTTGCAATCCTTGCTTATATTTTGAGGAGAATTATTTTTATGAATTAAAATCTCTTCAATTCAGATTTCATTTCCAACTCAGGTTAAGTGTTTCCACAGAGAAATGTTGTTTTTATATTAAAGTAAAGCCACATGTACAATGAATACCTCTATTAAATAGTCTAAAATATAAATTGAATTAATTGGCTGTCTTTTTTTTTGTTTGTTTTTTGTTCTTCATGACCAGTAAGGGGATTGCAACCCTTGGTGTGGTGTCGCCCGCACCACGCTCAGCCAGTGAGCTCACTGGCCATCCCTATATAGGATCTGAACCTGCGGCCATGGCGCTACCAGCACCGCACTCTCCCGAGCGAGCCACGGGGTCGGCCCTTGACTGTCTTTTTTAAAGCTTTTTAAAAATAAATATTTGTAAACATTGAGTGTTTTGTTGATTATTTGACAGGATTTCATATTTTGCATTTTGAGCTTTTAAAAATAAAATATTGCAGACTATAATAGATTAACGCAGTGTGTAAATGCTTTCATTTCTTTATAAAAACTTTAAGCTCTAATTTCGACAGCAGAAAAGCAGTGCCAACTGTTGCCACATAAGCCTTCAGAGAGGTTCCAGCAAGTCATGGGAGGCAAACGGGGCAAATCAAATGACAAAACCTCATTTTGACATGTCCCTGTTCTATCAGGACCTGATCTACCAGTGCATTTTGCAGGACAGACAAAAAAAAAAAAAAAAAGGCATCACGGCAAGTTAGCTCTTCTTTTACTGTCAATTTTATTTTCACCCCTTGGAATGAAACAGTTTTCCTTGATCAGCCACTTTTTTGGGAGAATGTGTGTAATTTGAAAAGAAGGAAAACTTAAAAGCCGTATGTATATGTCTATTCTTTTAATGGACTAAGCAGCTATAAGCCCAGATTTCTGGAGTCTCGTTTGGTCCCCTCCAAATGTATTTTGTTTCTGTTCAGTGGCCATGGCTGGAGTCAGAATGTCTGCTACCCCATGTGTTCCAGAAAAATGACTTCATTTTTCAAATGCTTACTTGAAGGGAGGTCTCTACCTCTCCTATCCATGGCCTACTTTTCCAATACGGAAGAGGATTTAATTTCTACGTCTGTGAGAGATTTTAATTTGCTAAACAGGAAAGGCAACTGTGGTTCTGGTCCCTGTCCCTCTTCCGTGGCTTGCTTATGTTTCTGAACACTCGTGGCAGTCTGTACCTCTTGGCAAACATATCTGAAATCTGTCATTCTTTCCCAATTAAACAACTGCATGAAGATAGTTCTTAGAGAAAGAGCAGCCAGTTGCGGAAGTGAGGATTGTTCTGTTGGATGTGACAGTCTACAGGAACACAGACCCCCGCAGTCTCAAGGCTGCAGTCTCACCTGGGCGGCTGAATTAAGAAGGTGGCACGTACCTTCTCGGCAGCAGGGCAAATGCACAAGGAAACTCTGGCTTCCATGGGGGGCCTTTCTGTTCATGTTTCTATGGAAACTAGTTACAGCAAAAGACGAGGGCTCCAGCATTCTATACATTGGTCCGCTGTGTTGGGTGAGGAAGTGATCAAAACCAGGACGGAGGGCACAGACTATGGAATTGTCTTGGGCTCAGGCCCTGCCTTTCCCCCACCACCTCCATTCATTAATAGAGTTAAAACAGAATTTGGGCTTCCATGGTTGTAACTGTTCACAAGGCCTTAAAGGGTCCCATCAAGAGTAAGTCCGCGTCTCTCCCCTTTGGCCTTTCATGGAGCACAATGTAGAGGGGTAAGTTTAGGTTGTTAATTTGAGATCTTTCTTTTGATGTAAGAATTTACTGCTAAAAATGTCCTTCTGAGTACTGCTTTTACTGCATCCCATGAGTTTTGGTGTGCCATTTCATTTTGATATGTCTCTAGATGTTTTCTAAATTCCCTTGTGACTTCTTTGGCTCATTAATTGAGTGTGTTGTTTAGTTTCCACGTGTGATGAGGGGTCAGGCAGGATCGCTTCTGGATCTGAGGGTGTCAGGTGTCTTTTTTATTCTCTTGCTTCAGAGAGTCTGGATGGACCCAATGGATGGAAGCTACAGGAGGCCAATTTAGATTTGAATGAACGTTAAGGATTCGAGCCGCCAGACAGTGGTCAACGCCCCGTTCCTGGGCTGGCTGGACATTTGCCAGGGAGGCTGGGCCTTACTGTGAAAAGAGCGTGGCTTTGGAAATGAGAAGTCTCTCGGCTAAAGGTTTGGGGTCGGTCAGTCATTTAATTCTCGAAGCTTGAATTTCCTCCTCTCTAAAATATTACAAGAACATTCTCCCCGGAAGCTCGTACATTGTGGAGGAGGTTGAATTTGATAGCAGCATGTGAAAGTGCTTTGCACGTTACTGGTGACAAGAGGAGCTAACAGTTATTATTTGCTCCTGTTCCAGTACTATTAAGGCTTGCTTTATGCAGTCTCACTTAATCCTCACATCAGCTCTTTGTGGTAGGCATTTTTATTATTATCCTTGCTGTACTAATGAAGAGACCATGGCTCAGAGAAATTAAGTATATTTCCTAAGGCGCTACAGTAGGTAGGAGCAGAATAAATACTTGAATTTGTGCAGACTGACTCAGAGCCCATCTGCTCAGTTCTGCATTATTGAATCCAAATCCAAAGTGTCTTTTGTTGTTCTCGGTATATTATAGAACCAACTCCTAATATGGGCCAGACACTGAACTATATTTCTTCTAAGTCCAGCAGTGAGATTCTAATAAACTCTACCAGCAGGCCTTTCATTATTACAGCTTAATTTCTCTGAGCCTTAAGTAAACGTTTTATCTATAACAGAATCCTATCTACATGTAAATATCCCTTGCGATGGTCAAAAGAGTAAGAGAAGGTGCCTGGTGACAAACACACCAATGAAAACATCCCCTAATAAAAGAACAGGAGGAGAGTTGCATGCGGAGATAACATTAAACCACGTGCCTCTCAGCTAGTGCCTCTCACGTTGTTCCTGCTGAAAGACAAGTTTACGCTTTTTGAGATTTTTTTTTTTAAAGATGACCAGTAAGGGGATCTTAACCCTTGACTTGATGTTGTCAGCACCACGCTCACCCAGTGAGCTAACCAGCCATCCCTATGTGGGATCCGAACCCTTGGCCTTGGTGTTATCAGCACCGCACTCTCCCCAGTGAGCCACAGGGCCGGCCCACGCTTTTTGAGTTTTAAAAAAAATTTTCAATCCATTATGTACTGACATTTTTGTAAAAGATTACAAAAATTATTTACTAGAAAAATGAAATGGAAAAAGCAGACACAGTATAAAACTGGTTTTTAATTAAATACAGCACAACAAAACTACATTTTTTAACTATCATTAGAATAAATATAACAGAAAAAAAATTTAAATCAATACACATTCGTTGAAAGGATGTATATAGATGATTAATACAGAGAATCCTTGTTGTACTTGTAACATTTTGTCATTCTACAAATGTGCTCACTTTTTGTTATTTATCTAATGTAATTTGGGTTTATGACACGATTTGCAGCAGATAATGTATATCTAAAAGACTTCTATGTTTTGTTTTAAAAACAAATTAGAGAAACTAGTCTCAGAAGTATGTTGATTGCTAAGTGTAAGAGGAGATTTTAGTTTCAGCAAGTTCAAAATACTCATTTTTCACTTGGATCTAAAATGAAATAAGTGATGCTGTATTTTCAAAATTCCATTTCAATCCATCAAAAGGTAGTTCCACAATTTATCCCATAAAGTTATAGTTATATCTCAATTGCCTTTTATTGAAATTCCCTTTCAATGAAGGACATAGAGCCATGATTTTCCTGTATATGGATTTTCTATTAATAGAAAATAGAATTAAAGCATTCTGTCAAGTTCATAACTTTTTATTAAAAAGTTTATAACTTTTCTGATTGGCAATATCAGGATCATCACCTATGTCACTGAAAGTCATTGTTAAATTATAGAATATGTCAAAAAGCTTAAACAAAACTGGATGTGTGTGACCTCAGCCCAAGTTTGAGACTCCAAGCTCCTACCTGGAAAGGAATAACCTCTTACATGTTTTATACAGTGCCCAGCAAGACAGTTATCAAATCTGTGAGGTCTCCAGACACTGGAGTTACTTTTTTCTAGAAGAGAAATTCCATCTTTCCTTTTGAGTTTCACAGGATTGATCTGTAAGACCTGCCCTTCCTCTCATAGTATCTGGGGTTTTCATTGTTATAGCTGCTCAGAAGGCCTCTTGTGAAAAAAATCCTCTGCAATTGAAAATCCATTTCTTTTACCTCCAGCCTTTCAAGAAACAGGGTAGAACAACCTGCCTTAAAATTTACCAGCCTAATGGCAGGGGCTCTGAACTCACACAGACCTATGTTTCTTTTATTTTTACTTTTTTTATTTTCAAAGCTTATAAACTTTTCCTTTTTAAAAATGTGTAAAAAACAATAACAGAAAGGAGAGCAATTTATATGGCTATTTCCCTTCTGGAAACAGATAGAGCATGAATGAAACATGATAGCATCAGACATAAAACAGTCAGGAAAGAGATGATACATCTAGTTCAGAGGGCCTCAACCGGGGGACAGTTTTGCTCCCCAGGAGACAACTGTCTGAAAACATTTTTGATGGTCACAGTTGGCATGTGTTGTGTGTGTGTGTGTGGACGTGTGCATGTGTGTGTGTGTGTGTGTATGTTGGCATCTAGTGAGTACTGGCCAGGGATGCTTGCTAAACAACCTCCTATACACAGAACAGCCCTAACAACAAAGACTTATCTGCTCAGAAAGGCCAACAGTGTCAAGCTGAAAAAACATGATTTAGTTGCATCTTTGTTGCTTTGTGTTGCTTCACCCCCCCGGATTCATCACCCCACTCCCCCTGGGTGACGGAGCTGCAAAGGATTATTCAAAGCCCACCTCTTCTGAGCAGTGAGAGACCCTGAAGTGGTTAAGTTTCCCAGGGCCCTCCAGCAATAGCCACCCCTTCCTTGGGAAATTAA